TCCACAGCTCAGCAACTGTGTACAGCAACCGGCGACAATTGTTCGTGGTTTACTGTGTCCAGAACACCTTTCACAAAGATGACCTGTTCGCCCGCCGTCCTGAACGCTGCATCCCTTTGAAAGTTGGCCATCGGCACCCTCGTTTAGAGTGGTGCAAGGAGCGCAAAAACTAGGCATCTCATTAATGGAGTCGTGTTCTCCTTACGGATGAGAGTCGTTTTAGTGCCCCAAGCGATTCTCAACGCCAGCTTATTTGGAGAGAGGTAAGGACACGGTTTAATCTCAGTAACATCACGGAAAGAGACCATTGCGGTGTCCTGGAGATCTCGTCTGGGAAGGCATTATGCTGAACGGGCGGACAGAGCTCCACGTTTTCGACAGAAGTTCTGTAACCGGAGATCGCTATTGACAGGAGGTGATCCTTCCCTATGTGCGTCTATTCCGAGGTGCCATTGGACCAGACTTCGTTTTTATGGATGACAATGCACGGCCACACCGAACTTCTGCTTTTTAGAAGCTATAGAAAAGTGGAGATATCACTCGAAGGGATTGGCCAGCGTACTACTCTGATTTAAATCCCATAGAACATGTATGGGATGCTTTGGGGAGACGCCTTGAGGCACGATTACATCCTCGGCGAACATCCAACAACTGAAACAGATGCTGATTGAGGAATGGGCACTCTCACCTCAAGATCTGTTGGACAATCTGGTGCTGAGTGTGGGGAGACAGTTAGAAGTAACTATTGCAGTAAGGGGAGGGCATATCCCATACCAAGGAACATCTGCTTGTTGTTCTTCCTCTTATACAGACAATCACGTGTAACGATACTATGAGTTCAATAAAGTCTGTTTTTGTTTAATTCTATACTGTATGCATTGTATTCATTTTTGCGCAATTATGCATTCGTCATCGTTTAAATACAAAATTATGTCTCTTATTTCTGAATTTCATGTCTCTCAGATGATAACTCGTGGATTTATGTCAAAAAGAACACCTGTTGTTTAAATTTTGCACACCAGTGTACTTTCCATATTTGAAAGGGTACCAATCAAAAACTATTGCGTAGAATGAATTGAACTTTTTCACAAACAAGCCTTGTAATATGAAGCGTCAAAATATATAATGATTATACGGCATAAGTGTGAAGTGGGTTGTGAAAAAACACAATAAAACCCTCTGTTGGGAGAAAGCTAAATTACTTTCCGAACAACTCAATATATGTTGAATAATTTTCTCCATAAGCGACTAGCACCGCTATTTGAGGTCTGAACGACAAAGCGCTTGGCATCTTTCCGGCGTATTCCAACAAAAATCCTCTGTTCTTGTTGACTAGTGGTCATTTGTCTTACGTACAAGTCAGCACAAGGTCAGGAAATTTCTCGAGGCAAGAAGCGCAAGATAACGCTTGCCGTTGGCAACAGCCATGAACACCTTATAAGTGACAGTGCGATTAAGCTCTGTTCCTCCTCCAATTTTGATGAAAAGCACTCCGGGGTCCCGGGTCCGAAGGTTCCCACCCCTCGTGTCCTCTCGGAGATTCGAACCCGAGTTCTTCGGCACGGGGCGACCCCACTGCTGTGGAAGTACTCTGGCAGTTGTTCTTAGGTCGGACGAGCAAACATTAATCGATTTCAACTATTTTATTGTTACCGCCTATTCGTCCATTGAATCTTTGCAACAGATGTAAGGAACACATTCCCCGCATGTAATTATTCCAATCAGTTGCAGCATTTTCACACATATAAAGCTATTTATCATATCATTTGATGCATGACAGCTCCTCTGCCCAAGAATGCATAAATCTAATAGCAGTGGCGAATGAAATTCTATAATCACTGAACCAGTTTTCAACACGGTGGGCTTTTTTTATTTTATGATGCATCTTACACTGGATCTCGGAATAACTTCGTCGTCAAGATAACGTTTTTTGCTGTGGACATTTTTACGTACTGATTTATTAGGTTACACGATATTTCTCCCGCCTTCTCAGTAGTGGTGTAGTGGTCAGCACGCTCGACGTGTATTCGAGAGGTTCGTGGTCCGAATCCCGGCGAGGGCATTGCTCATCTTTCATCTCTCCTGCTTCGAAATAACCTAATGTCTCTACAAGGTAAAAGACTTTCTAGGAAAAAAATATAGGGCATCCACTTCATTATTTGTAAAAAAAAAAAAAGGTAGTTCACTGAAAATTCACATAAAAGAAAGACATATTAGGGAAAAAAAAAAAAAAAAAAAAAAAAAAAAAAACTAATGCGAATTCGAAAGTTTTAACAAAAATGGAACGCGATTTAATCTAAGAACACATTTATTTTTTGTGTTTTAAATTTCTTAATATGTCTTATTGTGTGATGTTGTGACTTATCTTGCTTGTCTGACAATAACATCAGAACAAGCCCACAGAATTCATAGTGGCAAGGAGTGTGCTATTGCGCTTACCGTTGGCAAGAGCCTTGAGCACCATACAGGTGATATACTATACGTTTTCATTCAGTTCTGAAGGCTTATCTAACCACATTTAAAGTTAAGAATGAACAGACTGACTACTTCCATGCAATCAACAACCTCGTTAAGATGGAGTTTCTCATGTCACTTGCTTAGAATATGGTACAAGAACAGTGGTGGAAAGAATTATTCTGTATGCCTCTGCTATTTGGGGAACTAAAAATCTCTTCACAAATGAGACGTTCACTACTCTCATTACAGCGACACCAGCTTCTTCCCATTTGCAAGGCTTATCGTACCACGTCCACAGCAGCTCTACAAATTATCGCAGGCACGCCGCCTCTGCACTTGTTAGTTGAACGAGAGGCGGCAGTGGCTAACGTAAGTAGGCTACGACTCACCATGAGTCTCCGGGGACAAATCCATATCCATACCGATTATGAGCATCACATACCGCAAGCTCCCTGCCGCACAGCTAAAAGTAACCTTGTGGACACTACCTACTTCAATAGAAAACAGGACTCAGGATTTGCAAATGGTGTTTTCACTGATGGCTCTAAAACTCCAGGGGGCACGGGAAGCGGATTCTGTATACTTTCTGGAAGAGCTTTAACGTACGAGTGGAAAAGAAAGCTCACTTCTGAAAACTCTGTCTTTCAGGCGGAGCTCATAGCTATCAGAGCAGCTCTTCTCCACCTGAAGAATAGTCCCGCGGTGCCCAATATCATCTAGACAGACTCAGCCTCAAGCCTCCCTGCGATAGCTGGAATTCGTTCTCGCAGCCCTATCGTCAGCAGCATTACAGACATTATAACCCACATGCCTGCTTCGCAAAGACCCTCACTCATCTGGGTGCCCGCTCATACGGGAATAGAAGGAAATGAGAGAGCAGATGTAGTCGCAAAGGAAGCAGCGGATTCATTCACTTCGCGAGAAGTCCCGACCCTTAGGCCAGTCTAGGATATAAAGAGTCGGACATTCTTTCAGCTGCTAAGAATGTAGCAAGAAGGTTGGGATCAAGCCTCCACAGGGAGACGTGTATACAATCGCATTCCCAAGGTCAAGACAACAATCCAAACTAATAGCAATTACATGAAGTATTTCCTCATTGGTTATGGGCCTTCCCTTCATACCTCTGCCGCTTTGGCTTGAGAGAGAATGGTAACTGAATATGGGGAGGAGGGTCATCCAGACCATTTTGTGTTCTCCTGCCCACACACAGCACTTAACTGCCTCAAGCAACCAGGAGCCAGATTCTGGCCAAATTGTTTCCAGAATCTACAAAGTAACAGAGTTTCCCAGCGGAAACTGAAAACAATAATTGACTACTGTACTAGCAATTACTCTTCTGAAGCTGGAAGATAGTAGCCATAAAGTACAAACTTTAGTCGTATCTAACACACATTAGGTTCTAACAATGCGATTTCTAAGCACAGTTCTCTTAGAAATAGACATGGCACCTTCAGTATGGCATTAACTGTTCTTGAATTGGCACATTTATTAACCTGAAGACAGATTACTTGCTCTGCAAAGCATAGCAGTATGCACGTTAGAACTATAGAAGCTAGTTCAATATGTCAGCAACAGAGTATGTGATATGCATGTTCAATATGTAATTTTATATTTATGCTGTACGAAGTTTTCATACACAAAGTTTGTACTGTATCTGAATGCTGTATTGTATCTGTTCATGTTTATATCTTTTATTTATGGTGCGTAATTTATACTAAGGATCCCGCGTACCTCATTGGCATGCTTTATGTAAATTTTAACCATCATGATAACGTATATTTTGTATAGATGTATATATGAATATGAGTGAGAGTATGTATACTTTTATTTGTTTCGAAATATATATATGTATGTAATGTATGTAAGTGTGCATATATCTGTATCTGAGTTGGTATTTATATATATATATATACATATATTTTGATTGTACTCTTCTTCAAGTGCCTTGTATGCACACGTATATTTCTTTTTTGCATTTTATAAATGTCGTCTGCTCAGCCGGGGATGGCCAGAGCTGCGGCCTGGCAGCTAGTGGTTAACTCCCGCTGAGTTGGTAACCAATTCTACATGGATATATTTATGCCTGGGTCGGAAGCCAACTCAGTTTACTTCCCTAATCACTATACTGTCTGGGCGGCTTAATATAACTTTACACATAATATTTATAAGAATAATATGGGAGTAAAATAGGATTACACTTTAGTTTAGAAAATCATAAAGCAAATAAATATGATTCCTAGAACTTCAACTGTTGAAGAATGAAAATATGCTGAAAAGATTTCAAAGAATTATAAATTAACTAGAATAAGGGTTCAGAAACAGCTTCGAATAACGAAGGAATTTGAGATGTCGAATCTAAAACTAAACTGTTAGATGTAGGTTACGTAAGCTTTAAACTAAATTAAGAAATATCACGGATTTGAATGTATTAGCACGTATTATTTCCGCATTTACTATATTTCTTAACGATTTCGTGTCCTCGGAAGTGAGGATTTCTTTTTCGCTTTCAAGAATCAGACCGTGAAAAACATTGATGTAATCGCCAGCCGAGAGAAAGGAACAGTTATTTTTCATTAGTGAAATGTCAGCTGTAAGTGCATTGGTGAGTATTAGTTTAAATAATTGTTACTCGTATTCAAACTATGCGTGCAATATTTTTGCTATTTTTTTAAACAAATTAATGCATTATTCTCCATGCCAGAGAATTATTAATCTTTAAGTTCGCAAGTTTTATTTATTACTCAAAAACAATAAATGTAGATGTAGCGGGAAACAAACCTACAGTGTTTCTGTAAAAGCAATACTTTTTTTAAAATTAAATAACACTTTTAAAAATTAAAATGTTTAGAAAATTTTATTAAAATGTTCTATTACGTTTATAATTGTTTTACGCATATTAGTTACCTTGTATAGTTTGTCTATTGTAAATATTTCGCATGAACCAGTTGCTTGAAAAAGAGATGGTTATTTTAACTACTAATATGATTTGATTTCGGCAATATGTAATAAAACTTAAAAATATAAAATTAGAGTTAGATATTATTGTTTTACAAGTGAAAAGTCACCGACCCAGTTTCATTGTAATATTTATTTATAAGAATATTCAAACTTCGACTTCATTTTTATTTTCATGAATAGCGTTTGAATATTAAACTGAATGATATTTTTAGGAAAATAATCAAGTAAATAGGACTAATAATAATCAAGTAAACAGGACTTTGTACATACAGTTTTTATTTTTCGAGAATTTTCATTACAGCTTTTTTTTTTTTTTTTTTTTTTTTTTTTGTCAAGTCAAGGGGAAAAAATCTATTTGATTCTTTCATATGCAGCATTATTTTCTATTTGATCTTTTATGCGATTATTATTGTGATTGAAAGTAATCTAATGAAGTTTATTTTAATTTTAATTTTATCCAGTGTAGAACAGTTAGCAGCAATATTTTAACAATAGAGAGAAGAAACAGATAAAAAGCTCGAAACGTGCCATGGTCCAATACAATTTAAATTTAAATATTTTGTTGCTTCATTTTTATATCATAAACTTGATTTATATTTGATGTTGTTTTCAGACAAAATAGATTTCTCTTAAGCAACAATGTTTTTGCAGCTCTTCTTTGCCAATAAAAATTAATATTTCTGTTCGGAAACAAGAATAAATATACAATATAACTGTGATTTCAAACTAAACATTTTAGTTTTTAGATAACGCGCACCCTTTTCTTTACGAAGTAACCTAAAAGATACATGTGCTGTGCTCCAATCTTTTGAAGTGATTCTTTCGAAGTTTTTTACAGGCTTTCGAACATTGTTATATTGAATTGACAAACCCATATGGAAAACAATATATATGTGGGGAGAAATGCATGAGGGATAAATAATTCTGAAAAGAAGGGGCTTTTACTCCATGCAGGTGTGCACAAGAATGTCATTATAGTGATTTGAGAAAAAAGGGAACATTATTTGAGTTAATAATATACCTGCGACCCGAAAGAATTCGAGGAATTAGCAGTTAGATGTTTTCTTTTTCTGTAGTCACTTGAAACCGTGATTTTGAACTGAACATCGAAGTCATGGAAGGAACAAAGAAGGAAAATGAGGCCAAACGCGTCATACCAGTCTAACAATAGCTTTTCAATGCAGAATATAAGCATGGAACGAAATTATTCCTTGTATAATTCGAACATTAAAAATATAATATACACTGACAAGCCAAAACATTATGACCATCCCCGCATTTTTCAATGAACTCGTCTGGATGATGTGGAGGGTATGTGGTTAAGTGGAAATGATATTTATCTGCTGCTTAGAGAAAGTATGGAATTATTCTTGCACTTACTTTTGCGAGTGATGCTGGTCTAAGCGAATTTGATAGAGGGCAGATTGTAATGGCCCGAAGACTCGGGACGAATATCTCTGAAACTGCAAGACTGGTAAGTTGCTCATGATCTCCATTGCTAGTATTTATGCAAAGTGTATAAATAACGAGGAAACCAGCAATAGACGCCAAGATGTTGGACGTCCACGCGTCATCAAAGAAAAAGACTTCGAAGATTGCCCCGATTGTTAGAGCAAAATGGGCTCATGACACTGGCTCAGCTGACAGCCCAATACAGTGCAGATCCAAGTACAAGTGTTTCGGAACAGTTCAGCAGACACTGTTGGATATGAGACTGCGTACAAATGCCCCACTTGTGTGCCTCTGTTGACAAAGCGTCATTGTCAAAGTCCTATACTGGGCCCAGGAACATCGAGACTGGACCATGGATAAGTGGAAGACAGTTGCCTGGTCGGTTGAATCACGATTTCTCATTCATCACGTCGATGGCTGTCAGAATACGCCGTCTTCTAGGCGAACAGTTGCTCCCTTTTGCAGCAGGTCATACACAGGCTGGTGGTGGCGGTATTTTGCTTTGGACGTTCCCCCTCTGGGGCAATTTGTTGCGGTAGAATAAACATTGAAAGCTGCAGACTATCCGAACATAACTGCCAATCAGTTGTACAGTTAAATGGCGCCTTTCAGGCCACCTAACTCGCCAGATCTTAACCCAGTAGAGCACATTTGGGATATCATGCAGTGCCAACTCTGAGCTCAAACACCATCATGTCGGAATAGCTGGACTTTGCGTGACCCGCTGCTTAGACCATTTGGTACAACCTCTCGCCAGTCATCTACCAAGAACTTGTAGCATCCATACCAAGGGGAGTTGCAGCTATTTTGCAGGCCAGAGATAGCGCAACGCGTTATTTATTATGTGGTCATAATGTTTTGGCTCCTCAGTGTATAACAGAAGATGAATTTCACGAACTTTTCATGTTATCAGATAAAGAAATTTTTAAATTCATAGAAGTCATTTCTTTTAAATAAACAGCAATTAGGTACATGTAGAAATATAATTTTTGTATGCTGATCTTTTCCCTTCTTTTATATCTGAGGTATAACGAGCACGCGTAAATTTCGATCTTATTTTTTTGTATTAAAAGTGCGCCTTATACGCCGGAATATATGCTATGTTTGTAAATTTCTTATCTACATCACATGCAGTTTCTGAATAGAACATTTAAAACACGATTTCCTAGCAGTGATTTCCTTTGAGAAACGTAAAGAATTAAAAAAAATTTATCTTTTACTTTTTGATGAAATATTTTCACTGAAATTTTCCTTAATTTCGAGGTAGATTTTTATAGCAGACTAAAATTTCTGTTTCCTTAGATGTTAGCATATTATGACAACTAAATAAAAGCAGAAAGATGTAGCAGCAAAATGTTTGATCAGAATTTTAAATTATTTGATTATAACAACGCATGGCGATATGTATGGTTAAATGAAATCTTTACGAAAATTTTCAGCAGTTTCCAAACGCTGTATTTAAGGTTTATCATCAATTGAATGCAAAAATATTCAGAAGTTATAGAAGTTTTTAAAGTACTGAGTACTTAGTTAGAATCGACTCATGTTCCAGCAAAGAAAGCGGCTAGTTTGTATTTGTAGTGTGCACTAGTTCACAATTCATAACATTATAAAGAAATGTTAGAAACGACACAAAATGGGACACACCGGTAAAGAAGATTAAAAATATGATTTTAATTTAAAAAATACGTTTACTTAATAGTTATATTCAAAAGGGGACCAGTTATCAATATTACCATAGTAATCTAGAGCAGGGTTTCTTAAACGTTTTTTTCAGTCACGACCCCTTTTTATTACTGAGATTTTCGCGACCCCCAGGACCCCATAATATTAACAGAAATTTTGTGGGACCTCCGTAAGTATTGCGCAAATTCGACATATGCTTAAGTGAAACTGTCAATTTTTTCGTTTGTACTGTAATATACCATTGCAGTTTTAGGTCATTAACTTTTAATTTCTAATTTTGAGACATAAAACAATGTGAAAATTTCAAATAAGTTACAGACGAAATGAGAGCGTCACGTGCAAAACAAGGAAAATGAACAAAAGAATGCGTCGAAACGTGAGTGAAGTCCCTTGTTCATCTCACTACGAACGGATTGGATAGCGACTATTTCGCCTGTTAACGTGTCCCGTGTGTATTTTAATGGGGAAAGATTTGGTCATCGTGCTTTTCTCGGAATATTTTGGACTCTTTGAAAAGGAACTCTGCTAATGTAAGCTCCTGTTGCTAGCGTGTTATTCTTCTGAAAACTGCAATTTCTTTTGCTCAGAAGATATAATAACACAAGGACCTCATCAGCATTATCGTTGTATTATAATTATTCTATAAGGTATATTTTCCCTCCTTTCTGCATGCCTTTGTGGTGAAACGTTAGAACACTCAGCGCGTGTTCAAGAGGTCCAGGTTCAAGTCCCGGAGAGGGCATTGCACAATTTTCCCTCTCCTGCTTCAAATACCCTAACGATTCTACAGTGGCACCCGAACTAAAGGGTTGTGGATGATGATTCTTCATTGAATTCTTTGATTGAAACCCTAATTCCCAGTAGCATTTTAAAAGGGGGAGTATATAAGGTATTTTCTCCCTCCTTTCTGCATCCTTCGTAGTACAATGGTAGCACACTCGACGCGTATTCTAGAGGTCCAGGATTGAGTCCCGGCTAGGGCTTTGCTCATTTTTCATGTCTTCCGCATCAAAGGAACCAAATGACTCAACAATTCTTTGAGAAATCCTCTTGATATTGATATTGAAAGATTCGAGGGGAGGCCTTTTAAAATAATATTTTCTAAAGTTTTTTTGTTTCTGGCCCACCAGCGGCCGAGCGGTAAAGTCGCTGAACACTGGTAGTTCGGTCCGAGGTTCGAATCCCGTGAACGGGCTGGCTGTATGGGCGTTTTCGTGGTTTTCCCCATGTGTAACGTGTATACGAGCCAGTTTCCCTTAGAAAGTCCTCCACGAAGGCCCTTCCCTTAGGCAGATAGCCCTAGTGTGCTTTGCCATAATTAAATACACCTACACCTAAAGTTTTTTTTCCAATGGCAGATTGTGAACAATTACAACTCTGTCCATTAATCTACACAAGGCGGGATGTGGTGGTCTCTTTATTATTATGGAGGCACCTAATAAATGGACCACCATCGCCTTTCCTACGAAGGAACAGACAATTACAACCATGCCCTTCTCCGGGATTCGAACCCAGGCCCTTCGGCATCGCATTCAGCTTCTCTGACCACTATAACGACTGGGCGGCTCTTTTCTAAAGTTTGATTGTTGGAAAATGGTATTTTTTATGCAGCTTGATTTAAAGTATATAAACTGCTTAAAATTGAAGTAACAATGTTAAATCTCGTAGTTCATATCAAATAATTATAATGCACAATATAGTATTTTAAATCTGACTAATTATTCTTTTCTTTATTACAGCTGTTGATACTATTGGCTGTAACTGCAACAGCTTCGCCTCAAAGCAAACTCTCTGAAACAATTACCGACTTGCAAAAAGGGCCATTAGGAAAGATTTTACCTTCTGGCTTTTTACCTCTTCGATTGCCTACGAAGAAAGAAGGCAAGGATGAAGAATCTTCAACTTCTATGAAAGGGCTGAGAGATTTTATAGAAACCATAGGTTAGTCTAAAAGTGAATTTATAATAGACTTCAGTTTTATAAAATGTTAAATTTTCGTTTCAAATGTTAATTTAAAATGTGATCCAAGTGCAAAAAGTTTAAAAAGCAAGCTATTAAATAATAATTAGTTCAAAAAATAATTAAATTTGAATATAAAATTTGCCATTATATCTTAAAATGTAACCAGTAGTGACTAACTGTGTTGATTAACTCTGGTGCATATACAGAGGCTGTTCGCACATTTTTTGGACGATTTTGGTAAGCGGTAATAAAAAATCGTTTGCTGCATAAGAAGTCATTGCAATTCTATTATGTTTTTAAAAGTCAAAATTATCGTCTGTGGCTTGAAAGTTTTGTTTTTATTCAAAATGGCGAATTTAACAAAGCAGTGGTTCGAAGGCTACATTTACGCTCTTTCCGAAGAGAAATATGCATACTCGTTATCCAAAAACGATGTGAGAGTCATGGTTTTGTGATATCTAAAGCGTCTCGATAGGTAATATCATCAACAGGAAAGGAAAAAAAAACGTCAAATTGGAGCCTCAAGTGGGACAAAAATTCCAAACAAGTATTTTCAAGGAAAAAAAACGGACATCTTCGACTATTGCAAAGGTACGTTGTTTAATGTTAAAGAAAATCTCCCTAGTCAAAGGACAGTTGCAAAATCATTAAAATGCTCGGTGTCCACTGTAAACAAAATGATAAACGTTGATTTAAATCTTAAGAAAGCGAAAAAACGCAATGTGCATCGTCTTCTTTCAAAGCATATCACTCAACCCAGGACACGCTGCAGAATTCTATATGAGAAACACTTATTCAAAGAAAAATGGAAAAACATTATCACAATAGATGAAGCATGGGTGTATTTAAATGACTGTAACAAAAAAAGAGCCATTTATGATCATAAAAGGGGAGAAAAAAATTTAAGTATGTGGTTCAAAGAATCGGAAGAAAGTTTTTCTTAGGGATTCATGATTGTTGCTGGTTTTCCTTATAATGGCAATTTAAAAATAAAGAGAGTGCAAAAAAATGTCAAGATTAACTCCAAATACTATCCGGAACATATTTTATCGCCAATTTTCTTGAATGAAATACCATCGCTTTACCCACAGTGCCATCCATCTGTGAGACTCCATCAGGACTCCATCAGCTAGCAGTCACACATCAAAATCCACTGTAAATTTCATAAAAGAAATGGAACAAAAAACTGGTATTAAGGCCATACCCTTCACTGATATCCCTATTAAATCTCCCGATGTTGTCACCTATGGAGTTTTGTGCTTTCGGACTTTTAAAACTGCATTATCCAAATGTTGTCCCAAAACCCTAACAGGACTCTGGAAAGCTGTTCGGGAGGAATGGGATAGAATACCTCTTCTGCCACTTCAAAAGGCATTATTATCCTGGAAATTGCAGTGTCGAAAGATAGTTCAGAATAAGGGATGTCAAATAGAACATTTAAAACACAAGAATTGTATGTAATTTAGTTTTGTGAATACAATATACGTCGTCTAAAAATGTGTGAACAGCCTCTGTATTCACTGCAAACAAAAGAATCATATTTAATAATGAGTTATAATGATTACGTTTCAAAATTAATAGCTCACAGTCAACTTTATAAAAATTATAGGAATGACAAGTAAACTAAAAAGATCTAAAGTTAGAATAACAAAAAGAATAAAATTGCATACATTAAGGGTTATGCTAAATAAGGTTTTAAGTTGTAATGTCCCTCGCTACTTTGGCAATGATGAGATGTCGTGGAACCTAGCGAACTAAGTAGCTACTTATCGCTGAGTTCAAGTACTTGCAACGTAGACTCGAGAAGGGTTCAAATACCCTTTTATTCACTCAAAAAAATAACAACAGTTGGCCCCTTCTCGGGTTTACAAAAAAGCCTATACTTGGGCTTTTAAATCAGGGTAAGAAAATAAGAAACTGATCTAAAACTAAAATAAACTTAGCCGAAGCTAGACACAAATATCTAATGTAGATGGCCCTTAATTTAAACTAGCCGGCGATTATCACTGGGCACGTACAATACGGCCGAGCGTAATAGATTCAGGAATGAATTAGCAAGAAGGGAAACACACGCTACTAAGGACTTTTAAGCACTCTCTATCAAAGTCAATTGAACTTCCGTTAAATGCTACTTTAAAACTCATTTGCATTCAACGTGATTCTAAAAACTCCTCCTGGTAGGGATTCCTAAGTGGGAAACAAGAAATGAAATTAAAGAGTTTCAAAATTAAAAATAACTGTTATAAAATCAACATGCACCTTACAAAGTTTATATGCATATATGTTTATATTACAAAGTTTATAATAAATGCAGAAAAGTTTGTTTTTTATGGAACTGTAATACAATCGTACACATCAATCACTAAATTTTATTAAACATGTTAGAAATATACTTCGTTATTTTTTTCTTTACTTCTCTTATGCGTATATGCATACGGACAGATAAATAGGCATGTGCCTACACAGCCTATGTTCAAAATGTTCCAAGGTTCTGCCTAAAAAAAATCTGAAAAATAATGTTCTTAAAATTACTGATTGCTTCCTTTAAAATAACTGCCTTGAGAATCAGAGCCCTAAGAATTACTGAGGGTCTCTGAAACAGTTATGGAAAACATTCCTGTATATCATCTTATAAGGTATTTCTCCCGCCTTCTTAGCATGCCTTCGTAGTGTAGTGGTCAGCCCGCTGGGCGCGTATTCCAGAGCTTCGTGGTTTGATTATCGGCGAGGGTGTTGCTCATTTTTCATCACTTTTGCTTCCAAAATACCCAAGGTCTCTGCAATCTAACTGCTTTGTAAATATCTGGAATATCACCATGACTGTGTCAATTCAGCTCCCATTTTACACTGGAGAATAAGAAATGATTAAAGGGTGACAGATCTGGGGAATATACTAGATATAGCAACACAATGTTTTCTGATAGGGTTCTAGAAACTGTTACATAAGCAAATAAGAAAGTGGGTTTTTGTTTTTGTTTTGTTGTTATAGTGAAAAAAGAATCCCAACATAGATGTTGATAATAAAAGATGACGGCGATGAATACTGCGTTGTACGTAAGATGTTTCCAAAGTTCTAGGGTTTGAGTTCTAGATCAATTCCTGGAAATTACAGGCAACATTATCAGCCAGGGACTAGTCTTTATATGCTTATGCGGCTATCTCGTGCAGTATTTGTTTAGCCTATATCAGTATCTATAGTTGTTTGACTGATACAGGTGCATTTTTGTAGCGCTGCATTTTAAGGGCAACAATGTCTACTTCGACGACTAAACATCTAAGCAACTAAGCATCTTCTGCCGAATCATCAGATCGATCTGGAAACTGATTTTAAAAATTATATAAAATTAAAGACAGTGGCAAAGAAATTGATTGGGGAGCTAAATAGCAGGAAGATTGAATTTGGTTTATTTAAATATGGCAAAGCCTCGAGCGCTATCTGCCTAAGGGGAGGAATGATTTCATGGAAGACTTTCTAACGGAAACTGGCTCGTTACTTGTGAGGAAAATGACGTAAACGACCATGCAGCCAGGCCGTTCTTGGGATTCGAACCCCTACTGTTCAGCGACTTTGCCTCTCAGCTGCTTGTGGGCCGATTGAATATGGAATTTTAGTTCAAGTTATTATCCTCGTTCTTTTTTGTGGATGTTAGATCTGATGAGCTGTTTTGTTTAAATTTTTAAGTTTCACGGTGGCTGCCAGCTGGACAGGTCTTTATGAGCCTTATGACTGAACGAAGTTTGGGCTGAGTCGAAAACTGTGTCGCTTTCAATTAATTATTACTCCCTAGCATTTATGGAAAATGATACCGACTTAAAATCTTTTGAAAAGGATGTCTTGTGCGCTTGAGAAAAACATCTTGACAAGGTAAATGAAATAGATTACTACTAGGATGTGGGGATTAATTGTAGAAAATGAGTTATTATCGGAGCGCTATGAAACAGCGGCAGCCTATATCGGTATTCGTAGACAGACCGTTCTGCTTTCCTGGCGTCTGCAAAGTGTCAGTAGCTGTCACATCGTGTCCATCTTCCTGTAATATTTGTGAGGAAAACCACGGAAAGAATATGATTCAGGGCCTAAATGCAAAGGATGGGTACACAACGTATGTGCTGGAGTTAATAAAAAAATGAAAAAATATATTTGCGATCATTGTTGTAATTAATTGTATAAATAAATTAATTGAGAAAAAGAATGTTTTGTTATAATTGTCCAATTTAAAATGCAGTACGACTTAAGCTGTAGGTGGTACTACTTAGAATATTTGTTATCTAAGTCGTATAAAGTTCATGTTCATAAATTTGATTAATTTTATCCATGAGAGTAGACTATATGGAGTTTTATTGTAGTATATATCTGCAACAACACAAGATATTATTACCCCCACATAGTACTGATTTTTTTCACAGATTCTAAGATTTATAACAATTTTTCTTAGACGGTAGGACTTACGTAACCTTAACCTTTCTGGAAACTATTACTGTAACAGACATCTACAGTGAAAGAAAATAAGCAGAAAGCGGCAGATATACAGTTTTTTTGCATAGTAGAAGTAGATTACTGATGTAATATTCAAGTCAACTCGAATTGCTAATATTAGTCTTAATAGGTTCAGCTTGGAAATAGGGTCGATATGAGTCTTAATATGTCTTTCGGATGATTTTTTCTTTCCATTCATTGTGATCATTTAAAGTTTTAATACTAATTTCTTTGTACTAGGATCAAATCTCACTCACAGATTAATGAAATCGGATAAAGAAGGAAAAGAAAAGGGAAATAATTCCCTTATCGATAGAGTGCAGACATTTTTGCATCCAGCATCAGAGAAAGAAGGAAAAGAAAATGAGAAGAAAAACATCATCGATAGGGTACAGAAGTTTCTAAACCCATACCTGGCTTCCCTGCAAACGGTAACATCCACAGTGAGGAATAATTCTCTTAGTTTGTTGGCAACACGCAAGAAAGACTAAATTAAGGTGAGTGTGTAATTTATTATACTTAAAAATGGTATTTGAAGAAAATACTAGATTTGAAATATTACATCATTTCATTCAGAGTAAGAAATAAGGAAACCCAACGAACTTCAGAAGCACATAATATGTTGCACACTGTGATAATAAACTTGTAACCTAATTTTTCTAGAACCTTTTTTCTTATTATCATTCTTTTTTATGCTTATAGATTCGGGAAAGGCGGGATTCTCAATACTACTGCGTCAAACCGTATTTTTTTAAATATTCGGAATTAAATTTATTCCTTACACAGCTTTCAGGATTTAAATAAAATGCTATTAATTACAGTAATTAAGTAAAAATGGATATCTGTGAGAAAATTTTAAACTAATCAATAATTAATTAAAAAAAACTTAATAAAAGTGTTAAAGTCTCAAAACGGTTTTAAGTTTCTAAATGTTTTTAGAAGGGGAAAATAATGGTAAAAATACCCTTAGTTTAAGAACAGTATCACCCTTCGTTAAATCACAATTGCTCCTACTTTCAACGGGAAAGTTCATAATCTGCTCAACAGATGGCAGCACTACGAGCATCGAATTTCCGTTAAGAGCCAAAATATAATGCTAGAAGTCGGATGTTGACAGCAAAACACCGTATTACCTCGCATACCCAGTAGGATTTTAAATTTGGCATCGTGTAAAAATAGCAAAAATACAAAATGATTTTATAATAAGCATTGAAAATTACCTATTATGAAATCATTCTGAATTTTAAGATCGGTCGTTAGGAAAGGGTAATCAACAGAAATAAGCTATTAAAGATTCCCTTCGATAAAGCCGGACGCTAATTTTACGCCTTTAAAATTTGAATAAAAAGTGCCGTTTGAATTAGTAGTACGTCGGCCACGAAGCAAATGCTTAATCAATAAAGGCTCTAAGTGTTTATTTGTTCCCTATCTAACGTGCATAGTTTCATTACATATTTTTAAGTAAATTCGATTCGAAAAAAAAGGGAAGACAATTCTATATCTTCCGTTCTACTGGGCCTATTAACGAAATTAAACTTGCGTTTTTCATGTCTCGAAAACGCGACTTAGAATATGTATTAGATTTATATATAGCATTGTTCTAATACAGGTATTTTGACACAAAATAGGACTATTTCTGAAATGATGTGCTAATTTTTTTCCATATTTCGATTCTACCACTTAAATTATGCCGAACTATTAAATTTTGTAAAAATCACAAGAGTAGTTTTTAAAAAATTAGCTCACAAAATTTTAGCTTCGTAATATTAATTGAATTTGATATAAATTTATTAATATCTCTTTTTCATTAAACTTATTTGATTCTTCCTTTCATATTTCGAAATTTAGGTTGATTCCATATAAAATTCGCCTATTTTTATGATTTATTTTTAAAATTTGTATTTTTAAATAATTGTTATAATTTCTTTGAAAACATTTTTGAATAATAACCCATAAAAGTTTTGCTATTTGCTAAAGTAGATGTATTTCTAAGTATAGCTGCAAAAAATTAGGGTTCTTTATTCAAAATGTCCTAAGATATACGGGAATTTACATTTTGGCTCGTTTCGAAATTTGGCGTATTTATTATAAACGATAACAACGAAAATGTGGTTTATGCACTTTGTTAAAATTGTTTGAAAGTGCGCACGATGACTTCTTTCGCTTGTGGACAATGAAGAAAAAGGAAAGAAAAATAGGTTGCTATAAATTAAGAAGTTCGCCAAGTTAAATATTCTTGGCGTAAACGGAAAAAATTCGCCAAGATAAATTTTTAATTTTTCTTATCAAAAATTTCAAAATATAATATCGAGGCATAACTTGAGTCGTAGAGTCGAAATATGGTAAATTATTTCTGAAAAAGTCCCATTTTCTTGTCAGAATACCTACGTTAGAACAAAAGCTATATATAAATCTAATATATATCCTAAGTTGCGCTTTCGAGACATGAAAAACGCAATTTGAATTTCGTGAATCGGCTCATTAGAACGGGAGATATAAAACTGCCCCCCTTTTTATGCGCAGTGTGCATAAGATTTTTATTGTTTGAAAAACGAGCGTTTAAAATAGTTTGATATTATTTTTTCATTATAAAAGTTTTATTTACCTCTAACTTAGTATTTAAAGGAAATGGTCGTTGTCTTGTCCATGAATTTCATGGAAGAATGGCTGTCAGAGGATCAAGGAAAGTTGGACTTCTACTTCCACTCTAGTTTGTAAAATTTGAATTTGTAAAGAAATGTTTTTTTTGGCCGTTCAGATGTTTTTAAATCGTGCATGCGGCCCGACTGAAACTTTAGTTTTTGACCACTGCACTAAGACACAGTATTAAAATATGTATTAATTTTATAAATGCATTCAGGGCGTTACATTGTCTCACTTGTGTACTCTGCTGAATAACACTATTAAACTAACTATAAATAATATTTGAAATAAATTATAATAATAAAGATTATTACAGTATCGTAAATTAAAAAAAATATCCCAATATTATTTACGCGCAATATGCTGCTGCAAGGTTAATTATACACACAAAAGTAAGAAAATTAGAACTTAATTCACAAAGACATGAAAAAGGTAAAATCAAAATCAATAAAATCACAATATTTTCTAATAAGAAACATCAGCTAATTGTTTTCAAATCAGAAGAAATTCCGAAAACAATATAAAAATACAAGAATAGGAAAAGGAATTCAATCAAAATCTAATTCGTTATCAAGAGGAGGAAGATGAAATTCAATGGAATTCCCCAGGAAAATCGTTGCGTTATTCACCCCAAAGTAGAACCATCTTAAATAATTTAATTATAATAGTTTAGCCAAAAATTTTGAATGCCTCCCCGACGCAATAAATCTCCATTCATATGAAATAAAAACGTATAAAAACAATTCCATATGAAATAAATTCAACGTCCAAAAATTACAAGAAAAATAGACGTATATATTAGATATATAGATATTAAAATTCAAATAAAAATTCAAATTAAAATGTAAATTAGAAAATGTATAATAATTGACCAATAACCACAATTTTGAATTCAACACTATTAGAACAAAGAAACAAAAGACAGTAGTCCAAAAGGCAAGCATAAAAAGACGCTAATGGCTGCTAGTTTTGCGCCATTGGCGAAAAAAATTGGCGATGGAAAGTTTGAAATCTCCCAAAACGATTTTCCATTTTCGTGGGCTTATCATGGCGACTTAGAACAAAGTAGACCCTCTGTTAATAAAAGTACAGACAAGGAAGAATGTATAGTCATTTATACAAATTACACTATAATACCCTCTAAAATATTCTTCTTTATCCTTCCCTAAGAGCTTTCAGACAAAAACTTTCATTAACTTTAATAAATAATTTTATAACGTGTGGACTACTCCAGCATTTTTAAATAAACCGTTAATAAAGTTAATTGAAATTTCGTTTTCTTGTAAAATTTTAATAAGAACATTGTTCAATTTCTGAGCATGCTTTTAAAATTCTGGTGAGGTGATTAAAAATTGTACCTTTAAGGGATGTTGGTATTCCAATTTATAAGTTTAATTGTTGAAAAATTGAATTCTCTTCTTTTATCATAAAGTCTTACATCTTTAAGATTATAAGTGCTAAGATCCAGATAATATAAAATTAATTGATTTTTATTGGATTTTAAAGATTTTGTTTTTGGGGGGTATAGATGTTTCTTATTTCAATAAGATTTTTATTGTTGAATGCAATAATATCATAAATATATCTGAATGTTTATTGCAAATTTATTGTAATCATTTTCAGAAAGGGTTTTGAGAGACTTGAATTCTTTAGAAAATAAATAGAGGTTAAATAAGTGAATCGAATAAGAACTTTCCATTCGAATACCATTTGATTGCAGGTAGAGAATGTTTGCATGCTTGATAAAGTTATTAAAAAGCGAGAAATAGAGATAATATTTCCTCTTTTGTAAATCTCGAATAGTAAGCATTTCAGGGGAAAAAACTTGGAAGTTTTGAGGAAAACTTTGGAAATTTGGAAACGATTAGTTGATGTTTTTCACTAGGGAATTTGGGATTTTACTTACTTTGATTTTATTTTTACACGCCTTTGTGAGTTAGGTTCTAAATTTCTTACCTTTTTCTGTATAATGATGATTATTATATACATTAATGAATAGTTTTTTAATACAGACTGAAGATTACTTTAAGTTACGTAAGCTTTTATTATCTCTTAGATTCATACATATGGAAAATTGTCAGTTAATATAAAATTATCAGTGCATAGAACAATCATACTAAAGCAAACTCTGAGTGTAGGTTTTGTTGAATTCGTAATTCAAATTATTATTTACCGCTAATTTCAGTTTTAGCACATTTCAACTATAGATACTTTATTTAAGTCTACGCTGAATCGAAAATATATATATAATCCACATTTTAGACAGTATTTTAGTCGAGAATAGAGAGAATAACTCTACACGGTTCGTCTGCGGATAGGTTGCCTACCTTGCCCTTATCACTATTATTAAAATGAATGAATGAAGTAATAGAATGAAAGAAAGAACGCAAGAATATAAGGGCAAAAAATATTTTCTTCTGCCGATACAAAATGCAGGATAAAAATCATTCTTATAAGCTTTCCTTGTTTTTATCGAATCTGTATAAAACTAAGCACTGATATGTTGATTGAGAAATGCTATCATCTTAATCTGCATACGTAGATAATCTGCATACGTCATACTAATCTTTAAATGAAAATCACGCATCTTATTTCTGAAACACGTTTTCCTCTCATAGATTAAAAGTAGCCTTTCGGTTTTTCTTTTTTGCGGAACTTGTAGATCTTCACATTGTTTCTACTAAGAGCTCTAGTTTTGTTAAGATTTATTATTTTTTAAAACTACACCTCATACTCCTCATGCATACGTACCGAATGAAATTAGAAATTTAAAAGAAAAATCTCATACGGATGTATGTCGTTACAAATGCTATGTTCAACAATACAATCACGTGTAGAATATAGATGAGAAAAGTAACAACAAAGAAAAAAGCAATTAAAATTTTATGAGAGAATTTAACAGATGCAATTATTTTCCACGGTTTCATCTCACTTCGTTTTTTTTTCTTTTTTTTAATCAAATTCTAAAACTTAATTTTGAACCCTTGCTATGGACCTGAATTCTTCAAATGCCTGATAGATACGTACTGGCGCCTTCAATACCCATGTTACATAGAATTTGCTTTTATAAGTTTCAGTACAGGTTTTTTTTTAAAATTTTTTATTTTGCGTTGAATATTTACAAACTAATAATCATAAAATTCATAATAGGATGACATACATGATATTTACAATAAAAAATTTTCAACATGAATGTATCTTAAATTTTTGATAATTTTTCAAAATTTTTCAATTTTTTGTTGTTATGCAGATATTAACACTTACCGATCTTTAAATCAAAAGGCGTAAACATTCCCAACTCCAGCAGTAGCGGAGTGGGAAAGACCGCTGAATACTGGTATTTCGACCTGGGCTCGAAACAATGTCCGACTGCATAGGTGCCACTAATAGCTTTCACCATGTGTTGTTGTTGCTGTTGTTGACTAATGCTTACTTGTCTGACCTACAGTCAGCCCAATCCCCCAAAATTCCTCGTAGCAACCTTATGGAAGACACTGCGGTTTAGCTTAGTTCCGCCTCACCCAGTTTTGATTGAGAGCACACCAGGAGGGACAATTCCAAAGATCTCCCACCCCTCCTCTTTCCATACCATCAACCTCTCGAGAGGACTTTGGGCTCGCCGCATATTCAGAGTGCCCCCATGCACACGGACACTATAAATTTACAAACATCCATGCCTTCTCCAGGATTTGAAACCGGGCCTCTCGAGAGGATTCAACCTCTCGAGAAGACTTTCAGCTCGCCGCATATTCAGAGTGCCTCCATGACACACGGACACTGTAAATTTACAAACATCCATGCCTTCTCCGGGATTCGAAACCGGGCCTCTCGAGAGGACTTTCAGCTCGCCGCATATTCAGAGCGCCCCATGCCACAAGGACACTATAAATTTACAAACATCCATGCCTTCTCCGGGATTCGAAACCGGGCCCTTCGGCACGTCAGTTAGAGACGCTAAGCTAATACCGGTTGGGCTGCTCACCATGTGTAATGGGAGTATAAGACAGTTTCCCTTAAGAACGCATTACTCCTTTTAGGTACAGAATGTGATCAGATTTTTAAATTTTCAAGAGTACAATTAATCTCCGGTTCTTTTTATGAATGACAAGGCTTGTTCACATAGAGCTAAGTTGGTGGACAATTTTTTGGAAAGTGAAAATGCTAATCAGATAACTTAGCCAGATTTCCAGAGCTATGGAACATGTTTGAGACGCTCTTGGGAGAGCAGCAATTGACTTTTTCCAAAAGAGAATCTTCCAGAATCTGCAAACAACGCTTCTGCATATGTAGGACTGATTGCTTTAAGAACTCATAAAATGCCTCATTTTCAATATGAAGTCACTCTGTGAGAGCTGCAGGACAGTTAGAATGGACCATACCTCCTAGAAGCTTACTTTGTTTGATCTTGCAGCTTCTGTTCTAGACTTTTCTTCGCCGATGAGCCTACGTCATGCTACATATGCAGAACACACATATATGCTATAATTGCATGGAATATTTATTTTTGCGGTATATCAATCTATGCTCATTCAAATTTCAGGAAAACGTATCTTTCAATTCTCGAGATAATCGATCAAAGATGAAAAGTTTCCCAATTTAGAACATGTATATAGTTTTCTGCACCTTACACTCACTACACTTCTAATAGATTTTATTAGTCAAAATACACGCATAAATAAGATTTACATAACAGTTATTTGTTGACTAAAACAAAACTAATTAATATTATGTGTTAATGTTTAATTTTGGCTAAATACTAAAATTTGTTAAAACTAATATATTTTTTTGTGATACTTTCAGGTGTGGAAAAGAAAGCGGAGTCATCATCTTCGACTCAGATAAGAACACATGCCAGTAAAACTGATCACCGTATTAATGTATTGCAAAATGAAAATGCAATCGTGTGTTTGCAAACTTATACATGTGCAATAAATATTTTGTAATAATTTCAAGAACAATTAAATAACAGAGATAAGTTCTGTAATTGGACTGGTTTGAGGAATCAATGGTACTTTTGTCTGACACAAATTTTTAATTTTTATCATATTACAACATTTTACAATATTTATAGCTCTGTTTGATACAAACAGAGTTAAAGTATTGTAAAAACGTAATAAAATGGTACAGAAAATTACATTATATACGTACACTTTTGATTCTGTTGAAAATAAGAGCAGATAGATATATTATTGAATGATGAGCAGAGGTAAAGAAACCTTTTTTTTTTTCCTTTTAACTTCTTTGTACGGAGTAAAGAAAGCGCTGTAATCTCGAAAAATTCTGGGTACTATATTTCAACGGAAAGATACAATTTCATCTCTCTAGAAACCATTTGAACAATTTTTTTACGTGACATCTATACGTAAGGACAGAATAAAGGACTTTTTTCGAAAACGGATTGCAAAATGAATATAAAATGGACTCAGAAGGCAAGACGTCTGTATGTACACGGCCAAAAAAAAAAGGGGGAGGTGAGAGTTCTATATCCGTTCTGCTGGACAGATTGACGAAATTCAACTTATGTTTCTCATATCTCGAAAGCGCGACTTGGGATAGGTATTTACATTTACACATAGTATTGTTTTAATATAGGTATTTTGATACAAAATCGGACTTTTTCTGAAAGGACATGCCAACTGTTTTCCATATTTCGATTCTTTGACTCAAATTATGCCAAACTGCCAAATTTTGCAAAAATCGCACGAGTAGTTTTTAAAAATTAGCTTTCAAAATTTTAGCTTTCAGTGTTATTTTTTTGATATATAGTTATTAATACTTCTTTTTTATTAAACGTACTTTATTCCTTCTTCCAGAATTCGAAATTTAGGTTTAATCCAAATATAATTTTGCACATTTTTTTGTTATTTATTTAAAAAAATTTATTTTTAAGACATCATCTTAAAGTAGATGTATTTCTAAGCACATCTGGAAAAAATTAGAATTTTTTATTCAAAATTTCCTAAGATATACGTAAATTTACATTCGTATTTAATACACTGACTACCAATAAGTATTTGGACACCTATGCAAATGACGATATCTGCGGTTCTAAGGTACGTCACGGAATCCGCCGGTATATATCGTGTAGGACACAGCATCGGCTTTAGCCGCGTGCAAGATGCCTCGCAGTTCGGAGCTCTCTGATTTCGAGAAAGGTATAATTATCGGGTATCACAAATGCGGCCGATTCTTAAGGGACAAATCTAGCGATCTGAAGTACTCAAAATCGACAGTGGCCTATGTGATTAAGAAGTGGAAGGTGAGCGGTCATTGTCGGAATGTGCCCCGAGTCGACAGACCAACGAAACTGGGAGATAGAGACCGAAGAGGGCTGTCCAGAGAAATTCGGAAGAACCGCACCCAACCGATGGCCCTCATCCGCAAGGAGTTTCAACAGGCATCCGGGAGTATTGTTTCAATGAATACTATGCTTAAAGAAGCACATCTGCTTGGTTTTCATGGTCGTGCTGCTTCCCATAAGCCTTTGATCACAAAGTCCAATCGCGCTGCTCGGTTAATGTGGTGCAAAGCACATCGAAATTGGACCGTAGATCAGTGGAAACGGGTTCTTTGGAGGGACGAATCAAGGTTCACCTTTTACCGTTCGGATGGCAGGGTCTGGGTCTGGCGTCTACCTGGAGAACGTCTCCTGCCAGAATGCATTGTGCCAACAGTCAAGTTCGGCGGAGGTGGAATTATGGTCTGGGTGTGGTATGTGGTATGGGCTGGGACCCTTGGTCCCCATTCATGGTAAGCTCAACTCCGATGCCTACTGCACTATTTTGGATGACAATGTGCTTCCTACGTTGGGGCAGTTTTACGGGTTGGACCCCTTTTACTTTCAGGACGACAATGCCAGTTATCATGTTTTCGACGTTAACCAAGGCTTGGTATGGTGCCAATGGAGTTCGTCGAATGGACTGGCCTGCCCAGAGTCTAGACCTGAATCCTATCGAGAACCTCTGGGACTAGTTGCATCGCCGAATTCAGGGGTGCACTACCCGTGCAAAATCGGTGAAGGAACTTCTGTGTCTTCTCCAAGCCGAGTGGAAGAAAATACCACTAGCTGTCATACAAAGACTTGTGGAAAATATGCCCTGGAGGGTCCATGCTGTAATTAACTCTCGTGGAGGCTCTACCAACTATTGATTTTGAATAAAGTTAGTTTTTCCTTTCTATCACAGGTGTCCAAATACTTATTGGTAGTCAGTGTATAAGCGATAATAAGGAAAATGTGGTTTACGCACTTTGTTAAATGTATTTGAAGGAATGAACGATGGACCTCTTTTTGTCTCGTGCATGAATGAAAAATAAGGAAAGTAAGTTTCTCTAAATTAAGAATTCCGCTAAGTGAATTATTCTTAGTGCAAACTGTAAAAATTCCGTCAAGGTAGCAACAGAGCCTTCAGGCTATAACGGTGAAGACAGCTTCACGGCAGCGCACTAAAGTACAGCTTCTGACTCGGTCGTTGCTCTCAAGCTGATCTCTGAAATCAAAATACTACTCTCTCCCAGGACAGACAGGGCATATATAGATTTAACCTACATTCGAGAAAACCACTAAGAATGCCTTCTAGCATGTTCTCACTCCATCTATTGCATATCGCCAGTTGTGTCGCCAAATATTGCCAAATGGGGTGATTTCGCGCTAAATCCTGCAACCCTTCTTCTCCCTGTCACTTTCTGCAACCCTAATCCCGCTTTGCGGGGAAGTTATCTTACCGCAGCAGGGCATTTCAGAACAATATTGAATTAATCGCGAAATAACTTACTTTCAAGATAAGCTAAAATTACTACAAATTACTAAAGTTTCCGAATTTTTAGACAAAACGTTCCGAATGGTGAAGAACTGAGAATAAATAATGACATCGTATTCTCTTTCTTTTATATATTAAAGTTTTCTTTGATATATGCAGGAAAAATGCATATGTTTGTGCCAATAATAGCCTTGTACTCGACTGGAATGTAATGACTGCTCTAATACATGCCAGTGCTTTTCTATTCTCCTAATAAACATTAAATTTCAATCCACTATGCGGTGAAATTTTGCTGTATCTAAATGTATTAACACTGTATTAACAATAAATACACTTCAATTATATTAAAGTAGGAGGCATGAAATTTCATCGGGGGCCAAATAAGGCCCGTAAGTCGCCATTTTGAGACCGCTGGATTACGTATTTAGAAGCATGCAAATGACCATCTTGTAATTGTGTAAACCATCGTGTAAATGGGCTTGGGTTTGACTAAACAAATATTTGTCATGTCTACGCGAAGTAGGCACACATAACGCCCGTTAATCTGAAAGTCCGACTTCGCTGTAATTGACTAGTAAAAATCTGATCTCTTTAAGCCCCCTCCGCGCCGACTGTCACGTCTACGTGCCAGCAACGAACACACTCACTTACCAGCTGACACGCAGGCGTGCCAAAGCGTTTTCCCGTTCAGCCCCGACTGTCACGTATTTGTGCCAGTGTCCTGGAACGTTTTAAAAACTATAATTTCTGCCACAAGATGGCACTGTATGTTCATATGGTTTCAGATACATGTACATTAGACCTTCTACTCGAAATAAGAGAAGCATGACTCACATACACGTGTTTTTGATTATATAAACAAAAGGGAAAATAAATGTTTCCGAATGGCGTGATTTATGACGTCTCTTTAAATTCGCACGTGGTAGTTTGTTTTATTGTAAGTAGAGAAGTTTTTTATTTTTCGCTAAAGCGTTGGGTATTTCGGTTTGCAGTTCAGTTTTTTAGAAATAATTAGATCTTGTTAGACGTGAATTCTTTCTGTTTTTACCGTTGCAACGTCGAAGCGTCGAAAATGTTTAACAGAGCATGAAATAGCAGAAATGATGCAAAATATTTCAGATATTGATTCTGAAATTCTGATATTGATTCTGAAAGATTAACTGAAAGACATTTTCCAAAACTTTGTTCAGAAGAGACTGATAAGAAAATGAGACGACGATGCTTCGTTTGTTCACATTCCCTGAAAAATCCTCCAAAACAGCAAATGAGTTATTACGAGTGCAAGGAATGTAACGCAGGACTGTGTGTAGATCCCTGTTTTCAAATTTTTCATACGAAAAGAATTTTAAGTAATATTTAGTTTTAAGATGTAGTTTTCAATGTAAAAAGTCATAAACTGGTGTGTAATGAAAATAAAATGTGTAAAATATGCATTTAAACAAGAATAAGGTTAATTAAAGTATCTATCTCTAAATCTATAAGCAAAGCCTTATAAACATGCGCTGATTACGGACTTTTCATGTATTTAGGCTTAACCTTTTACTGTCATGCCCGAGATTATCTTGGGCACAGCACTGGTGTTCGAAAATGTCACGCCCGTAAATTCTCGGGGTAATTTTTTTTTTTTTTTTTTTTTTTGTGCATCGTATTGTCATACCCGAGGATTATATCGGGAGATGTATTTCGGGCTACATTTGGTTTTTCCAATAAAAAAATTTGACAATTTGTGTACCCAAATCATCAAAATAACTTGACAGTTAAAGGGTTAATAGCAAAAAAGCCCCCGGCCCTGGACAGACGCTCGCGTAAGACACTGCCGGCCTCCGCGATAAGCACGCGTTTGGGCTACCCGGCGCGAAGGGGTTAAGCAAGAGACTCTCTGCCCAGTTCCCAGCTGAAGCTGAGGTAGTTACAGTCTTCTCAAGATGCTCTCCTGAAATTTATGTGCACAATTGCCTCGAAATGCAGCGATTTTTTTCAAAGAAGAATACAAAATATGGTAATTGTTGAAAGAGAACAGGCTGTAGAAGTCTTTACTGAAATGAAATACATGATTTTATTAGATACTAGTTTCAGTAATGTAAAATTCAGCTTCTGGATTAAATATTTTCTTTAAAGAAACAACATCACACATTTTTTTCAATTTTTTATATCAGTATTCATACGTTTATTCAAACAATAATCACAAAAGTGTTATTATTATAAGAAAGTGAAGTTTTAACAAAAATGTTTTGCCT